GCTGCTGATTTTTTCCTGCTGGTAACTGATTAAACATCATCTCTAGTCAGCCAGGCTGAAGGATATCTCTAGGGGGAAACATTATTTCATAATGCATGCAGTCCTACTCTTGACCCCCGAATCTCCCAGTTTGTCCTTCTGGAAGCCAAATTTCCAACCAAGAAATCTTTTCCCAGTTTAAGTTGTCTTCTGCTGTAGTTGAGATAACTGGTTTTAGCAAACAGGAGGAAGAAACCCTTTCACTTACCTTCTCACGGAAGTGCCAAGATCCTCCAACCACTACAGCATGTGCCTTGAAGTCACAGACGCTGATATCTCCAGTACCGCACATAAGCAACTGAAAGGCAAAGAAACTGCAGTCAGAAAGTCAGGAACCCAGGAAACAAGGCAACAGCTACTGTGCAAGTTACAGATGTTTAAAATGGTTAGAGAAGAAACATTTTGGCTTTATTCCAGATCCAGAAAGCAATTCATTTGTCAGAGAGGAGGGGAAGTAAGGATAGAGATGCTTAGGGAGGTAAGAGATTACCTCAAGCTCATTCTCATCAAAAATAGCCAGGAGGTTCTCAGGAACTAACTCGTTAAGACCTGGAAGAGAAGAGCAAAGCAGCAAGTGCTATCCCTCGGGGCATAACAGGGAAAGGAGCGAGGAGCAGACAGCATGTTACCTTTCAGGAAGTGATCCACCTCCTCCCTAACCTGAGTAGCCAGCCTGTACTGCGCAAGCAGATTTAGATACAAGATTTTGTTTTCATTGGTCACTGGTACTTGAGCCCCTCCTGTCACCAGTTCCACCACCTGAAAACAGGAGAACACCTGACATGAGTGAGCAGCATTCCCCAAACCTGAATTCCCAACCAAAATAAACCCAAGCAAGGAGCTACTGCCCAGAGTAAGCTCAGTTTTCTGGGGCACACAGTTCTTGGCCTTCCTTGCTGCAGGCAGAAGGGGTTAAACTGTCCCACCTTCAGGAACTGCCTCCCTCACCTTCTCCAGTTGTCCTGTTTTGCTATACTTCTCTTCAGCAAAGACCAGATCCATTTCACTCACATCATTGTTCAGTATGAAACAAACTTTGGATTTATAGAATTCTGGGTCATCTGTTTCAAAATACTGTGTGAAAGAAAAAAAAGGTAGAGAAGTGGAAGAAAGAGAAGAAAAAACCCAACATACACTGTTAACCAGGACTCTGGATCTCCTTCCACTACACCAGCCTTCAACCTCTCCTCAAACCAACAGAGGCTTCAGACAAGGCTGGGAAGCTTTACCTTGTAATGCATACGAAGTCCTATGATCTGACCCAGGAAGGATCGGGTGAAGCGAGCTCGAACCAGTTGTTTGTAAGCACCTCCCAGAGATGATTCATAAAGACACTTTCCTACTAGGCGGCCTGCAAATTCGTACACTTTGAGTCGTAAATATGTGGGACGTCCTGGATTTGGATGCACCTGCGAAGAGGAAGCAAAATGAAACATCCAAGTAGCAGACAAGACTGGCACAAATAGCAAGTATGGGACTAGTTCAAGTCTGGTCATCTCTCTTTATAGAAAAGCTCCTGGAGCAGCCTGAGAAATGCCTAGGGCTGCCTAGGAAGAATAGAAAATGTTTCACATGCACAGGCCAGAAGCTGTATAGGAGCAGAAATGGATTCTGACACATTCAGACCCAACAGACACTCTGATGCCACCTCCTCTTGCCCAGAAATCCAGCCTTCCCTGCTGACTGTTAATCCAGCCAGTTCTTTGAAACTTCAATGGGTCAAGATCACCAAACAAAGATTTGAGAAGGCACTGGAAGTGACTGTGCAGGCTAGCTAAAGAATGGGTAAGGTTGCACACCACTTAATGAATTTAGCAGCAGCATTATTTAACCAGCAGCACATCAATGCACACAGTTGTGTGCATTCAGCATAGGAACTGCAGACTCACCAAGGCCTGGTTGTTATCACTAAAGCGGGTAAAGAGTTGATTTGTGGTATCAAATAACGCCTTACAGATGAGCTCAAACCACTCTCTGCGTGGACCTCCCCAGTCCAGAGCTACAAGATAAAACAAGCTTGGTCATCAATTCAAGAGTTTCATACATGCTGCTCAGTATTACCCAACATGAGAGCTCATCACAGTGAACAGCTCCATAGCAAAAAAGCAGTAGACAGGGACTCTAGAACTCTAGATTCTGCTCCCAAACGTAGCCCTAGTATTTTTCATTTGGGCCTCAGGTCCCTATGTAAGGTAGGGATAGAATAGCACCAGCAGAATAATTCGCTAACATCTGTGAGAAAGCGAAAGGGCTTGAAAGCCACAAAGGATAGACATGGAATCATAGAACCATTTAGGTTGGAAAAGACTCTTAAGATATCAAGCCCAACCATTAACCTAATGCTGCCATCCCACCACTAAACCATGTCCCTAAGCGACATCTACCCATCCTTTAAATACCTTCAGGGGTGGGGACTCAACTGCTTCTCTGGGCAGCCCGTTCCAACGCTTAATAACACTTTCGAGGAAGAAATTTTTCCTAATATCCAATCTAAACCTCCCCTGGTGCAACTTGAGGCTGTTTCCCCTCGTCCTATTGCCTGTTAGCTGGGAGAAGAGACCAACACCCACCTCAATACAACCTCCTTTTCAGGTAGTTGTAGAGAGCAATAAGGTCTCCCCCCTCAGCCTCCTCTCCTCCAGGATTAACAACCCCAGTTCCCTCAGCCACTCCTTAGAAGACTTGTGCTCCAGACCCCTCACCAGCTTTGTTGCTCTCCTCTGGACACGTTCCAGCAAAGCAGCATCTTTCTTGTAGCGAGTGGCCCAACACTGAAAACAGTATTCAAGGTGTGGCCTCACCAGGGCTGAGTACAGGGGAAGGATGACATCCCTGCTCCTGCTGGCCACACTATTCCTGATACAAGCCAGGATGCCATTGGCCCTCTTGGCCACCTGGGCACACTGCTGGCTCATATTCATCTGGCTGTCAACCAGCACCCCCAGGTCTTTTTCCGCCGGGCAGCTTTCCAGCCACCCTTTCCCAAGCCTGTAGTATTGCATGGGGTTGTTGCGACTGAAGTGCAGGACCTGGCACTTGGCCTTGTTAAATCTCACTCTGTTGGCCTCAGCCCATCAATACAGCCTGTCCAGGTCCCTCTGCAGAGCCTTCCTCCCTTCCAGCAAATCAACACTCACACCCAACTTGGTGTCATCTGCAAACTTACTGAGGGTGCACTCAACCCCCTCATTCAGATCATTGATAAAGATATTAAACAGAACTGGCCCCAAAACTGGGCCCTGGGGGACACTGCTTGTCAGTGGATGCCAACTGGATTTAACTCTGTTCACTACAACTCTCTGGGCTTAGCCATCCAGCCAGTTTTTTTACCCAGCGAAGAGTATGCCTGTCTAAGCCGTGAGCCACCAGCTTCTCTAGGAGAATGCTGTGGGAGATACATACTACCAGAAATCAGAATTTCAGACTAAAACTATTCCACCATCATTCCTTTCATTTCCTCCTCAAATATATTCACAAGATAACTCACCTTCTTCATCCTGAAAAATCACTTCAAAGTTTTTGCTCCAGTCAGAAACAGAAAAATTTCGTGTTGCTTTGAAAGACTGAAAAAAAAAAAAAAAAGCAGGAGCCATTACTGCTTGGCACCCCATAACCAACATGCAATCCTGCACACATGGATGGGCAATTTAAGCAACACAAAACCCAAGAAACAGTCTAGTACTCTAAAGCATAAAATTGAGAATTAGGACTCCTAAGGTCTAATTCTTATTTGTCCAAAGCCACAGAAGCTAATTCCTCATTTTCTATTATGAGACACATTATCCACATAAATGCAGCTCATCTAAAAACCAGTGCGAGGTCTTAGGCACAGAGGTATCCCTCTCAAGGCTGCAGTACAGTATTGTTTAAAGGATTAAAATGCCTGTGGGAAGGAGCAATTTCTGTAAAGCACTGTCAGCCCACGAGTTAGATTTAAAAAAAGGAACATTTCAGAGAGCATTAGAAAATAGCTTGAAGCATTCACTGAGTTCATACTTAAAGCAAGTCACGATGCAAAAAATAACAAAATATTTCAAGTGTCTAGAACTTCCTGTGTCCCAATTCTGGATCCCAGTTAAAGGAAATTTAAAAAAGCTACACAGCAGTCCTCAGTCATACAGGTAGCTTCGGCTTAGCTTATCTTCAAATAGGTTAGAGCATGATGCTAGTTACACCTCTGGACTAAACACATTGGTCACATTCATTGTGCCTGTCAACCTTGGACACTAAAGCTTATGTTTTTTATTATTATTATTATGGCACTTAATTTAATTTGTCTTACTAGGCTGTAACACCAGTGCCCGTGACAGTGCAGGAACTTCCAAAAATAGCAGGGAAAAGTAGTCATGGAAATACTGTTTTGAAGTGAAGTCATTTTGTAACAAGCTATTAATCGAAACATAATCTCGCAAACACCGCAAGCTCATATGTGCAGAAAATACTCCAAAACACAGATTTACTGAGTGTAAATCAAGCGAAATCCCAGCCACTCCTGCTTTCCCCAGAAATGTCCTTTTCCATCTTTGTAACATTACTGTTGTGAGACATGTCAGGATAACTGCCTGCCCTGCATACACAGTGTTCAGGAACTGTATTATATGAATAACACTTTCTTCAGTTCAATTTCAGAAACACATCAGCTCAGGCCAGCATCGGTAAAGATTAACTCATGGACTCTATGGAATATTTTATCATCCCACTGAACCACTACTAGAAGCCTGTTGATGCAAGAGTTTCATGCGTGCAGCTCAGTAACACCTGACTTGACAGCTTATCTCTCTGAATGGCTCTGTACCAGAAAAACAGTAGGTAAAGACTCAGGAGCTCTAGGTTCTGCTCCCAAATCTGGTCCAGATAGTCTCTCTCTGGACTTGACATTCCAACGTGAAGTGGGAACAGAACAGCACCAGCAGATTTCCTGCTCTTACAAGCTATGTATGCATTTACCCTAAACATCTTTCACAGCTTGATTTACTCTGCAATGAGTTCCTTAAAAAATTATCAGAGTTGAAGTTTCCTAATTACTTAAGAAATTGATCTGATTTTACTGGCTGTAGAGAAGGAACACAGCATCCCACACCATAGCAAACCTGAACACAGAGGAGCTACCTTGAGATTACTTTTTCTTTTTCCCCCCATCTCAAGCTGTCTACTGGCATCTGCTTTGAAACAGGACTAAATAATTTTTAGCGTGGTTGCCCTAGCATATGCCAGTTGGATTTCTTCAGGCAATGAGCAGAAGAAAAAGAATGGAAGAAGCAGAGGGCTTAAGCAAAGTGACATGTACACTCACCGACTCCAGCAGACAGTGACGGCTGACCTTCAGCGTGACCTTCGAATGAGGTCTTTTCATATGTACCTGACGTAGCTCTCGCTGAAAGAAGTTCACTTTGTCCTGGAAGGTCTCAGAGCCTCCTGAGAATAGTGACAGTTTCAGTCAGGCCTGAGCTGCCAACACCCCAAACATTCAGAAGGCATTTCTAGGGCTAACTGCACAGGTCAGCTTCACAACCCAAGGATGAGTTTATTGCAGAAAAGTTTGGAAACAACTCTAAAGGCAGTTTGCAGTTAGTCTTGCTGACATTCAGATACTCACAGGTGCACTTCCAAAGAGCCTGACAGAAAAGCCAAACTGAAAAGGAACAGCTGGCATGATGAAATACATTCATTGGAAGCACCAACAGGAACAGAACATGAGACTCCAGGAATCAGAGTTCTCATCAGAGGTCATTCAGTGCTGACAATCTTCATTCCCAAGGGAAACTAGCAGACTCAAGTGCTAATTTCCTGACTAACGTACCCACCTCACCGCCCCTTTACCTATGTTTTTATGCAGAGAGCGAATGAAAGTGGCTGCCAAGATGTTCCTCTCCTTGCAGCTGAGCTCCACAGGGGGTTGGATCCCATCATCCACCACCAGTGTCAGTAATTTGTGCACAGGGTCAGGACCAAGGTATGAAAACTAGCAGCAAAAAGATGCAAGAAAGGGTAAACCCATCATGCAGAAGGCACAGCATGTTCAGTAGACAAAGCAGCACCACTTGCGCTCTTTCTCTGCTCACCCATGCAGATGCAGTTAACAGGACCACTATTTCAAGCATCTGGACTCCAGTTAGGAGGCTGCTTCAAACTTCAGACCCTAGCCTAGGAGCTTCAGTGGACACAATCACAGCATTTTAGCAAGGTTACAAGGAAAATAAACAAGAGAAATGCAAAACAAATCAAGATTTTTTGCCTAAGATTGTGACAAAAGGCAGGAAGAAGCAATACAACTGTCTGCTATTCATAACTATTAGCAGAATTTAGGCACCGAGAGGAAATGCCAAAGTCTGAATTCCACGCAACAAAATATTGCTCTGTGGGTGGCAGCCCTTCTCTCCAAAAGCAAAAATCAGGCCGTCATTCACAAGGACCACAAGCTAATAACATGGAGGTGTAGAGATAGCTACATGGAAAGAGGCTCACCTTTGTGCCAGGACATACTCTAAAGGTGAAAAGGCGCCATGGAATGATCTTCAGGTAGAATTCTTTCACTGAGAATTGCTGAGTAACCACAACGAAAAGAAAATGTTAGAGGTCACACATCTGTTAAGGGTCATGCCTGAAACATGAGGCACAAGACAGGTCCATAAGGCCAGACCTCCCTCCAACCCCAGGGCCAGATTTCTGCAACATTTGGTGACATCTTCCTCTGGCACAATACATAAAAACCTTTAAAGCTGTACAGAACTGTAAACAGCTCGTCAGTAAGACTTTACTGTGCACATTTACAACACATGGGACAGCAGCATTACACAGACCTTACAGCAGTATTCTTATACTGTATTCAGTAGAACATCAACAGTCTAATTAGAGGGTAACATTAAGTATACTTGAGAGGCTAAATTCAGGACAAGATTGTAATGCATTGACAAAAAGGTTTTGGAAAAAGTCACACTGCCTAACAGAACTACTGCTACTACTCCCTAATTTTCACAACCATTTCAAACAACTTTTAAAAAACACTTGCAATTGCTAAATCCAGGAGATTTGCAGACATTTATTCTCAGTGTATTTCTACCAGAACAAATAACTAGTAACTGTAGAACTGTCTCCTTCTGGAGACCAAGCTAAGATGAAATTTTAGCATCTTTAGACAAAACACAAAAGCATTTCCTGCACAAGCCTGTAGTAGCTGCAATGACTGGAAAAAATGATGAGCAGTGTTTCTCCAGAAACAAAGCAAATATGAACAGCAACCTCTTAAAAAAATAACAGCATAGTAACAGTTATCTACTGTACAGGACAGATGCTCTGGGTATATATGAGATGTCCAGGGATACAATTATGCAAGCATCAGAATCGCATTAACAGCTTTTGGCACCTAAAGGGAACCTGCAACAGTACCCACTTCTGGTGATGTCCTTTACCAGGTACTGCAATAGAAAAGAGTACAGAAGCCCAGAACAATACCCCAAGGATGAAAGGACACTGAGCTCACAAGGACCCAGCACTCACTGCCAAAGTCAGTACTTAGAGGTGCATGCAGCAGAGATTTAGAAATCTCTAGCAACACCCTCCGTCCTATAACTGCTTCACAGCCCTCTTTCTCAGGAAAGCAATTCCTCCATGGATTAGTCTTTTATTTTGATATTTATTACTGCATTTTTCAAAATGCATTCAGATTGACAGATTAATCATAGAATACCAGGTTGGAAGGGACCTCAAGGATCACCTAGTCCAACCTTCCTTGGCAAAAGCACAGTCTAGACAAGATGGCCCAGCACCCTGTCCAGTCAAATCTTAAAAGTGCCCAATGTTTATGAATCCACCACTTCCCTGGGGAGATTATTCTAACAGTTGATTGTTCTCATTGTGAAAAATCTTCCTCTTGTGTCCAAACTGAATGTCCCCAGAAGTAACTTGTACCCATTACCCACTGTCTTTTCCATGCGACCCCTTGTAAAAAGGGAGTCTCCACCTTCTTTCTAGCCACCCTTTAAATACTGGAACACGGTGATACGGTCTCCACTAAGTCTTCTTTTCTCAAGGCCGAACAAACCCAGTTCTCTCAGCCTTTCCTCATATGACAGGCTTCCCAGCCCTTTGATCATCTTTGTGGCCCTTCTCTGGACCCTCTTCAGCTTGTCCACACCCTTTCTGTATAGCAGGGACCAAAACTGAACACAGTATTCCAGGTGTGGCCTGACAAGTGCTGAGTAGAGTGGGATACTGACTTCTTTATCTCTGCTGGCAATGCCCTTGTTGATGAAACCCAGAATCCTGTTGGCTTCCTTTGCCACAGCAGCACACTGTTGACTCATATTGAGCTTGTTGTCCACCAGGATCCCCAGGTCCCTTTCCACAGAGCTGCTCCCCAGCTGGGTAGAACCCAGCTTGTGCTGCACTCCTGAAATCTATTTTCCCAGGCGCAAGAGCTTACACTTGTCCTTGTTGAACTTCATAAGGTTCTTGTTAGTGCATTCTTCCAGCCTATCCAGGTCTTCCTGCAGGGTGGCTCTCCATTCCAAAGTGTCCAATTCCCCACTCAGTTTCATATCATCAGCAAACTTCATCACTTGATCCCATCATCCAGGTCACTTATGAAGATACTAAACAGCATTGGGTCCAATATCAATCCCTGAGGTGACCCCACTTGCAAAGGGTTGTCAGTTTGAAAAGGAACTATTTACCACCACCCTCTGGGGTGCAGCCTGTCAGCCAGTTCCCCACCCACTGCACAGACCACTTGTCTAGACCACAATGCATCTATTTCTCTAGGAGGCGGCTGTGGGAAACCATATCAAAAGCCTTGGAGAAATCCAGGTAGACAGTGTCCACCACTCATCCCACATCAACCAAGCAGGTTACTTTGTCGTAGAAGGCAATCAGGTTTGTCAAGCACAATTTGCCCTTGATGAATCCATGCTAGCTTTTCCCAATCACATGCTTCATTTGACTCGTGATAGCACCCAGGAGGATCTGTACCATAACTTTCCCAGGGACCGAAGTAAGACTGATGGGCCTATAATTTCCTGTATCCTCCCTTCAAGCCCTTCTTGTAGATGGGGATTACACTGGCCATCTTCCAGTCTTCGGGGATGTCCACCGATCTTCACAACTTCTCAAAGATTATGGAGAGCAGCCTCGGAACCATGTCAGCCAGGTCTCTTAACATTCTTGGGTGGATATTGTCGAAGTGAATTTAAATTTATTAGTAGATTTATTGGAATTTTCTTTTTGGTTCCCTGAATGCAATAATAAGGGGTCATAGTTTCTGTTAACATATTCTTACTATAAGAGAATCCTCAGTTTCTCTTTACTTGCTTGAATTCTGTTTCTTCTACTTATACATTTACCCTTTGTCCTCTGACCATTTTTTTTCCCTTTTTTCCCCTGAAACATTCAAGAAACAGGACAAAGGCATAAAATCTGAGAAGTGTCATCTTCTAAGTTCCAATCTACAAGTATCAGAAACTAAGAAAGGGAATTGCAGGTCTGACCTGACCAGAGCAAAGGAAAGCCAAACAGAGTAGTGAACAATCAGGGAGAAAATTCCCAGCAGGCTTTGGATCAGACCTAGAAAGACACATGGTGTCCTAAAACTTCAAGGAGCATTTTAACATTATTCTCAGTCATGAGCTCCACATTTGCTGTCTAGCCTTAGGCAAACCTTTTTTAACAAAATCTGAGGCACGTAAATCTGGAGCTAAGATATAGGGCACAAGGAAACTCTTCAGTTGCAGGGTACTTTAAACATGCACTCAAGAGTGGTAACTTTGTGATATCTACCTTAGGTGACACATAGCAGTACACTTTTTTAGGTTTCTTCACTTTCTCCAGGGTTTGGCTGTCAGAGGGAGAATCTTCGTCTTCATCCTCAGTTGCAGTAGAAGGACGGCGCTGGGAGGAGCTCAGGTGCGCTGGTGGAAGTTGCCACTGAGTGTTGGTATAACTAGGAGCATCATAAAGGTAGGCTTCAAAGTAAATACTGACACCTGAGGTGGACACATTGCGTTCTACAATGTTCTTTTCATTCTCTGAGGGAAATGGATATAAAAGAGTCATGTAAATCTTAATGGAGACCAAAATCAAAAAGTAAACAATCCACAGACCACCAACAAATTAGTTATTATGATTTCAAAAAACAGGCTACATATCCAAAGGAGAACCTGGTCAACTGAAACTGAGAAAGAGAACCCAGGAGCGGGATGAAAAGATTTCAAGATAGTAGTTTATCTGTCCTGGCTTCAGACAGTGACTGGTTCAAGAAAAAAGGAAAAAGGCATACAGAACCTCTGTCTTAGAGTACCAGCCTGAAGGTATAGCCACATGACAGCCACATTGCAGACTGGCTCACCCCTGAAGAAACCAGTAATTACAAAATTGTAAAAAAGCACATAGGTTACATGCAGTGTTCTTCATCCATATAGCTTAACATACAATACATGACTGGCTCACTTATGGTATGGCTCAGATGCCAAATATCAGCAAGCAATAAAAATTGCCTAATTTCAGAGATAAACCTCCTGAGACAGATGAAAAAATCCACATGCTTTTATCTGCTGATGGAACAGAGAGCCTTCAGAGATCTCCCTTGTCAGCAGCAAATTCATTTACCTTAGCATTTTTAAATTAATAGGCATTCCTTGAGCAATTAAGCATGGCTAGCCTGCAGGGAAGCCACGTTTAACTTTGCTACAAAGTATGCAAAGCATCTGGTAAGAGGACACCCAGAGAATGAATACTGAGTAGCTCTTGACTCACCACTTAGAACAATGATGTCAAAATCACCATTGCTTATGGGCTGGTTCTGGTAGGAAATGCAGGCATGGAAACACCCCCTGGAGTGCAAGGTGAGTCGGAAGAACACTTCACAAGTCTGCCGATTGGACACTACAGACTTCTCAAATACAACGTCAGAGCTCTCTTCTTCTTGGGGACCCAGCTAAACAGAAAACAGATTAAGAAAGGGGGCTCTCTAGCTCACCTGAAGTCAAGCAGCAAGGGATGGTGTTGCACTTACCTCATGGATGGAGAGGCTGTAATTGTGCTCATCTATCAGGGACACAGAATTGCTGGTGGGATTGTCATACTCATCTCTGGGAACTATCTGCAGAGTGTGCTGCTGCCCACAGGTCAGCACCAGAGTGGAGAAATGGCAGACAATTTTGGTTTTGGAAGGAACCACCATCCCTGAAGCAGACAACAGTTTAGAGTCAAACAAATTCCAAGGTGAAGCTACAAAGAGCAAAGGAAAAGGAACTAGGGGCACAACACCCTTGAAAACAGATAAAATCTAAACACATTCTATGCCCCTATATTTAAAAAAAAAACCAAAACCAAACAAGCCAAAAACCACAAAAAACTTGAGCTCGGAAATACTTGGCGTGGTGCAGAGTTTGCTTTGGGTCAGAAACTTAATACTGATAAACCAAACCCAGTTACTAGCCCTCTAAAGAATGCTCTTTCTTCCATTCTAACCTTCAAGAACTCATTCCCAATGCAGCTACAAAGTACAAGCTGGCTGACATCCAAGGAAACCTGCAAATTCAACTTGCCAAACAAACTTTAGCCTGGAAGGTATCAAAGTTAAATGTGAACTCCCTCTTTCTGAGGGGTATCTTAGCAAGCTTTGTATCTATTCACAATGCAATGGAATGGAAGTACTTTCAATGAACATGTACATGAAATAGAAAAGATGCAGATTGGGTGAAAAAACCAAAAGTAAAGGAAACAAATTTAAAATGGATAAAAAGGAAATGTTTTTAAAGTATATCATCAAAGGTAGCAACTGCTCCAGGAGCTTAAAGAAATAGAGTACAGTATTCAAAAGAGGAAATGAGGCAAATCATGACAGCATTTCCCATTCAGATACAAATAACTCAATACTTTCAACAAAAGGCATTCTCTGACTACTAGATGGATCATGAAGAAGTTGCTACAAAACAGAGAACACGACACAAGCAGTTAGGGAGTTTAAGCAGCACTAACGGCTTATTCTGTAAGGCAGTTTCTATTTTGTCACATACTGGTAGTCACAAGTACATTTTAGCCATAGGTCTATTGCTGGGATCTACATGTGGCAAGAGGAAAATGGCAAAGGGTAACCCTTTCCCTGTCACCTACCTATTTTAGCTGGAAGCACATTTACCTAACTGCCTCCAATACCTCCAAATCTACTTTGAATAACAATAAGGGCCACTTAGACCTTACCTGGCTGGAACACCTTGTAGTAGGGGCTGTAGGCCACATTCAAGCCACCGAGTTTTACAGTGATCTCGTATCTCCCAGCCCTGCGCACAGTGAAGGCCACTTTCACCACATTGGAATTAGGCTCCTGAAGAACTTCCTGGGTTACAGGAATATCAATTGCTAGCTCCACATGGCAGATGTGAACTCGCAGCCCCACAGGCCGGTGAGCAGGGAAGGGTTGTCCATTTTTATAGAATAACTGCACGGGAAATGGAGAAGTCCAGGTCAGCAAAAAAATGCAGCACACAGAGGAGGAGAAAGCAAGTCACCTTGGGGAAACAAGGGCAAGAACCCCGGCTCAGCAAAGGAAAAAAAATTAACAGCCAGCTCTGTCACACAGGCTGTGTTCTCCCAAGTGAACAGGGCGCAAGTGGGCATTGAACAACCTCATTCTCTTTGGTGCTGGGGTTCAAATGAGTGCCCTAAAAAGAACATGCCTCTAGGCATTTCATCTCTGCACTGTTAGTGCAATATCAGAACCAAGAGAACCCACTACCGAAAGGAAAAAAGCAAAGCCAGATCCTGTCAAAGAAACAAGCAGATCTTGTCCATTTGTACAGCTAAGCTCTGGAAAAGCTCTCCCCAGTTTGTTATAGAAAATAGTGTGCAGAAGATGCTGACCTAAGGAGCTGACCCAGTCTGTACTGATACGAAGCATCAGCATGAAAACAATGCGTTAGATAAAATCAGAGGCAGCTCAGTCACAGAAGTGATCTGCTGGACAATTTCAGAAGGTAACATACCTCAACTGGTACTTCCTTACAAGGAAAGGATTACACCTTGAAACCCTATGTGCATGCCTCTTCAAGAGCCAGCAGCTTGTGGGCCAGATCCTGCCTGCCATCTGTAATCAGCCTGCAGTCAGCAAAAGGTTACTATTATTCCCCATTTCTAAGTAAGGAAGGGTGTGGGGCTGAAGTAGTACGTATCTTGTCCGCCAGTGAGAGAAACCAGTGCATGCAACAGGTACTGTTGATGAATAAAGGGCTAAGCAAATGGGAGATAAGCATGAAGTGGAAGGGCGCATTGCTGGAGCTGCCATGAGTGAAAGTTAATAAGGTGAAGGGAATAAATTTAAGTAGCAGGAACAGAACAAGTCCCTTTCCCCTCAGCTCTTTTTCACTGCCTGGCCTGGAGTTAGGACTCCTCACTCGCCCTCAAGCAGAAGGGATTTCCTCACTTTCCCGAGAGGGATAGGTATGGCAACCTAGCTGAACATTTCTTCTTATTTTGATACCCTTCCAGGAGGGGAAGGTGGGGCAGAAAGTTGGGCACACAAGCCCAGAAAAACCTGTTCAAACTTCCTCTCTGTGGCTCCAAACTCTTGGTGTTCAGGCCCCTCACCCATCTTATTTGCATATTTGTCCCATTCCCCTAGACTTGGCCATTTGGGATTGGAGGGAAACAAGAGTCCTTGGCAGACCTTTCCAGGTCAGACAGACAAGCACTCAATTTTGGAGGAAAGGGGAGCAGCCATGAAGCTTTACAGCTCTTGGGTTGGTAAAACGCCCACTCCCACGCTCCCAACTTGAGCTGCACAACCAAAAGATAGCATCAAGTCTGTTGAAGGCAAGGCTCAGCCCACTCACTTCCCAGTAAAGGAAGCAGGAGATAGGACAAGCCTGGTCTCCTCCGGCTCTTCAGAGGATTCTAAAGAGAAGGAGATAAGATTTTAAGGAGTGCAGACCTCAGATACACACTTAGAGAGTTCTGCAACACAGTTACAGGTGGCAGAAGACATAAACAGGTAGCTTTCCTACTCCTAAGTTACATTCAGCTTGACCCCAACAAAAACATTTGAAGAGCCCATTGCTAACTCAGACGTCTGTTCCTGCCCCCAAAGCTACATAGAAACAGAAATATTCCCTTACATGCACTCGGAAGGCCATGCTATGGCCCACCTCATAGGGGTCCTTCCAATCCCAGGAGATTTTGCAGGACCGGGGATCCAAATAGTTGCCTCGCACGTAGTCATATATAGTTCGCTCCCCTCGGCGTTCCCGGTCCTCATGCTGAAGGAAGCTGACTATACGTGCGGCAAGCTCAAAGAGGAACTTAATGGTGAAGAAGAAAGCTACCACAGATACCGTGATCCCACCTGCAGCAAGGAGAGAAGAGAGGGTGATTGCAGCAGCACGGCTGAGTCACGCATCAAAATCCCCTCTGCATCAGCCCAAAAAGCCTCTTATTAATGACACTCTACTCAGCTGCAAATTAGGTGTTTAAGACAGAAGCTATTGTGAGAACATTTACGGTTTGTGTTATGCTACAAGTAAGGTTAGAGAATAACAAGTCCCTTAAAACTCTGCAGATGACTGCAAACAGATGAAATAGGTAAAGGCGGCACAGAGTCTCAGGTATGGCTAGCAGACATCCCAGCAGAAGCATGGAATTCCTTTTGAGTTGCAAATTAGAACTACAGAGATTCCTTTAAGGGAAAGGGTCATATAACCACACATCCCCTGCACATGACATTAAGACTGGATTAAGAAGCATCATGGAGGCAACAACCCTGCACTAGTTCTTGAAAGAAAAAGTAAGGGGATGGCTTTGGAACGAGGTCAATGGAAGGATTTTAGGAACAAGAAGAATGGTGGGGAGGCAAGTCTGCCAGGTGGAGGGCACAGTGTAACTTCATGTTTGTTTTGAGTTTGTAGACTCTGAACTAACATGAAAGCAGAGGCTTTCAAAAAACCCTTCTAAAGCCTATGGAGAGGTCAACAAATACAGTGGCAGCCTTTCCTTCACTTACCAATAATGTAAAACATCAGGTCCCTTCGGTGAGACACACAGCCGAGGATCACAGCTGCATCTAGAATACAAAATAGGCCAAGTCCAGTCCAATGACTCTTCCTCACACACACTGGCCTAAATTTAATCTATGATTCCTCAGACAAATACCTATCGATCATCTGTCTTCCTCTCCAAGGACATCCCTAAAGCATTATGCCATAAGACTGAAATATGCAAACAGCACAGCATGCTGCAAGGAACAGTTCTCCCTCCACTACAGATTCCCATTCATATTCAGGGACCTAAAAGAAGGACAACATATTATCCTCAGAAACCAGTGAGAGTGGGCTCTGGGACCTGGAAGAAGCAGCTACTTTTTGCAGGATCACAAACTTTGACAGCAGCGGCTGAAAGCCACTCATCTAAACTCTCACACCTACTTGCTTCTGCAAGTCACAAAGTTAACTTCTAGTCTGCTATGAAAGCACATCGCAGAGCCACTATCGAAATGTACAGAAGCGGACCCTCAATCAGCAACCCTGGAAGAAAGAGCTATGGAATAAAAGAGTTGAGGACAAGACCATCCCCATTTGTTCAGAACAAACAAAGTCTTTCTAGGGCAGAGCTGAATCCATTTTTTGCCCTATAACTCTACTACGGAAAGTATGAATGCAACTGGAAAACAGTCCATCTGTATTTTCCTAATCAACTCTGCAATGTGGAGCCTCTCCACTGAAACTCTCGCAGATCAACATGCAAACTAAAACCTTGGGTTTGTACACTATTAAGACTACAGCAATTTTTAGAGATGCCAATCTAGAATCAAGTTCTCACCGAGGGGAGTGCTGAACAAACATGTAGTAAAAAGACCACGTCCAGAACAACAACATGCTGTTTGGTTGATAAGACACAGCTGACAGATGGAACAAGAGCAGCAGCAAGGAACGTGCGTGACAATTAGACAAACAATTTGGCACACACTAATGCATACAATATAGCTTGCCATGTCACCATTCAGTTAGTGAGAAGCTACATTGTGCATTTAAGTTGCATTTTCTTTTTTCTCTTCTTTTTTTTTTTTTTTAACAAACACAAAAGGGGAGTTATTCATGAGTCATCTCAACAGCAGCAGCAATGGACAGTAGCATGCAGAAAGCTTAAATGCGGTATTTCTCCCCAACAATAGCCATGACTTTCCAGCCCGGCAAATCCCCTTTGCTGGCCTCTACAGTTCCATCCCTCCAGCCAAAGAGCAATCACATACCTTTAGACAAGTGCCCATGTTCTAAAAGCCAGAAGGGGGGTACCCATTCTTCAGCATCCTTCCTCTTTGGGCCCAACACTGGGGCAAATGTCAGCAAGAAGAAGCCATAGAGATTATCACAGAAAGATAAACTCCTGGAACTTGCATCACAGAGTCACTGCTGAAAGGTGAGGACCTGAACACAGCAATTTCTTCCTCTTTGTTGAAAAAGGTTGTTCGGCAGTGCTGCTCCCTGTAGCCTGTCGTTTGCTAGCTTCCCTGGGAAAGGAAGAAACGGAGAGAGAAAAGCTAGATCTCTCCATTGGTGTGGACAAATCTCACAAGTAGAAACATGTGAGAGGTGTAAGATGCAAGAGTACCACTAGATGTCAAATCCATAAGAGAGTTGCTACAAAGGTATCGCTGTTGATGAGGTGCTAGGCTTCACCATATCCTCAACCTCCACCTGTCACAGTCTCATTTCATTAGAAGACCCCCTGAAATGAGCAGGTTCAGATGGAACAAAACACATCCTGCCTCCACAGGTTTCACGGGGCTCATGGTTTTCATGGAGCAGCCAAGAACCTGTGTGCTAAGGATCAGGTACTACCTTCAAGCCTTCGCACCCCACAAAATGCCATCTACTATTCTCAAACCGATGTTGCCCAGATCTGAGGGCTATTTATAGTCAAGCCTAAAAAAAAAAAAAAAAAAAAAAAAAAAAAGTCTTTGAAAGTTCTTGGAGCCCAAAGCAAACTAGATCTTTTTTTTTTTTTTGCTGCTATTGTTTTAGGTGTTCAGGAAACCAGTATCCTCACAGGGCGTTTCAGTTTCAGCAGCACTATCCACTCAATTACAGTTTACTGTCAGGATTGAGATAAAAAAAAATAAAAATCTAACAGCAAGGACTGATGCAGCCCACAAAACCCAGGACGTATGCCAGAAGAAAAGCCACAGAGCCTACACAGTCAGTATCTACTCATTCAGAACACAGACTATATAAAGGAGTGAGAATGAAATGAACAGACCCAGGCTCACCACAGCAGCTGTCTGTAAGGAGAGCCACATCTCCTGGGGCTAAGTGATGTGCTCCTCCTGCCTGCCATGCCATCGCCTCAGCTGCCACTTCCTCCTTACTCCCCCCCCACCTACCTTCCTCTTCAGATGTCTCCTTTTTCCTCTTATCCCAAGAAGCACACCGATCTGGCTGTCTTTGCACACTTCCACTAAGCTTTCTAACTCATATGAAAACCGACAGGTGAGTGTGCAGAGCTCTTTGATTGCGCTGCAGAAGCAGCCCGACTCTCGCTGTCTTTTCCTCCCCCACATCTCAAGGAAAATCCCACCCACTCAGCTATTTTCTTCTTTCCTTTGCTTGAGCAACAATGTTGCTGTCCCCAGGGCACAAGTTCTCATTCTCCTCCTAGATGAAGCTTCAGGTTTCTAAACTTGTATCTCTGTGCATTAAAAATCACAGACCTAGCAATTTCCTTGATATTTTAGTCCTTTCACAGTACATATCCAAGATGTCACTGAAATGTATGGTCCTTAACCCTACTTGTCTGTGCTACAAAATGCCTGGTTGAAACTCTGCTCCAGCATGGTCTGGCTGTGGAAGGTGTGCGGCTCCTCCCCACACAGCTGAGGAATTTCACAGACACCTATCAACATCTGGGAATCTCCAAGATCTGCCTCTAGCATCTTACAGAACCAGTCTCTTGGTGTCACCGAAGAAACATCAGCACAAAACTGGCGCCATGGGTTCCTCGACCCAAGCTATTGCTACCTCAGTCCCCACCTCTTTCCTTACTGTAAAGCAAACCAAAAGTCACGCAGCTTCTCTCTCAAAAGAGTAAGAAGAGAAAGACCCATCATTTCAACTAAAAGGGGTTTTACGACAATTGAAGCCTGAGTCTCTTGATCTGGGTTGCAGAATTTCAGTGCTTGCTGGATTCAGGGAATTAGTTATCTCCCTCAATCGGCACGGCAACTTCTCATTTTATTATCTCTGCATGAAGTGGTAAACAAGACACCAAGTCAGTTGGCCACCAGAGATGAAGCGGCTGTCGTATAATCAACTTCTCTCTACATACACGCTGCCAGCAGCTTTAAGGATGCTCTTGCAGCTGGGATACATGGGGGTAAAGAACCGAGCTGCAAGTCGCTGTATCCAAGACACATTGCCACTCCTTTATCAAAATGCAGATCTAAATTAAAATAGTATCTGTGCGGAGAACTGCCAGCTAACAATCTGGGAAACGAGTTCTGAAAATCAGCAATATAAGGTGCCATTGTAGCTAGGCTGGGAAAAAAACTGCTGAATTGTCTGACAGGTCTTAGTGATTTTGATTCAAGGACAGAACAAGCAATGGTCTCCTGCCATCTGCAGGGAAAACGGGCATTTGGAAAACTTCACCTTGGTTTGACTCTAGGAGAAGCACTGACATAATCAGGATAGGCAGCATGGAATCAAGAAATAAACTATATTAGTGCCATTGCTTCTCTCAAGTCAGCAAGGAAAGCAAGGCTGGTAACAGGAATACATTTTCTTTGTATTACTGCTGCTGTGAAGCCAGAAGAACACAAGGCAAAGCTCCAGAAGGAAGCACAAGCGTAGCTGCACATACCAAAGGAACTATAACACTGTGATGGCATATTCATGCAGATACAGCTACAAAGCCAGCTGGGGCCAAGCTATACAGAACTGATTTACTGAGGTTCTATGAAATCTGTAGCGCCTCTTGGTTTTTTTTCTTTAAATTTAACTTCCTTTCTTCTCTCCCTTGACAATTCAAAAATTAAGAAGAAAGAAAGGTTTAAAACCTTTCTGCAGGTTGATGCTACCTCATCCACCCAAGATGAGAGAACCCTTCACCTCTGAGCAGAATGTCCTCTTGATCCATGTGCACAATTGTCCACCACCAACAGCCAGCGAGTCTCACGCCACACACAAGACAGCAATTCTCCTCTGAGTGAAAAGGCACAGTATTTTCCTCACACTAAGTAAAGCACACACAAACCAACAAACAGGAACGCCCATGGGAACCTAACTTTACAATGCACCCACAGAAGACTGAAGAGTCAGCTCAAAAGGCACTGAGCAGGCTCCAGTATCAGCTGTCAAGGACAAAAGCCACATCAATGGCCAGTGCCCATACAAAACAGTCATTCTCCTGACAGGGCTGGAATCCGTCATATTCATTTACACACAAGCCAAGTAAAATAGTGACAACAGGAGGAAAAAAAACCAAACATGTGAAACCTTTGCCAACTGCCTAAGTCTAAGGACTTTTCATCGCAACTGAATCACCACCAGGGCTGAGAGCTCTTCCTGTTCTCCTCAAACACAGCAAGCCAGCTGGATGGCAACTTCCAGGCACGTCTCATCTTGACACTGGGTCTGCTTCCCAAGCCAGACCTATATTCCGCCACTTGCCACCCTACACACCCACAGGGAGAGCAGATTGCCCCCTTCCTCCTCGATTATTTCCTTCACCCGAACCACTCGGGTCACCTAAGTAGCACCAGGGGAGCTCCACCAGCTGCGTTTCCTCAGCCAACAGTTAAGCCTGGTACAGGCGGAAAGCTCAGCCGTGGTTTCCCTAACAAACCTGATTCTCCTTTCACTCTAATTTTCTTCCTTGTTCTTGAAGCCTCAGTCACAGTTCACCGAGGCCAGCGCTTCAAGAAGAAACTCCCGCATAGTACCTCACTGGCTGCGTGGCTGCTTTTTCTGACCAGCACACCAGATAAAACCAGTTGCATTTGGAATATACCGGCAAGTCCAAGTTCTCGCTAATCTCAGAACCTTTCATGAGGAAGATAACAACAGGGAGGCCTATCTCTCACCCTGCCCTGCACAGGGACCTAGAAACCAAGTGCCCAGGACTAGTCCAAGAACTTGGAGAATGTTTCCTCATACGTGCAGAAAAGGTGGTTTGGGTCAGCTTACACCATTACAGCTGCAGAAAGCACAGCTGAAATGACGGTCATTTGCCAGACCTTCAGGTCACAACTGTTGGCACAAACTACACATAACGACAACCCACTCCTTTTCATGACAAAGTTGGTGAGCTGGGGCACGGCAAAGCCGGCGTTACAGTAATTCTTCAAAACACGCCAGCCCAGCAAGATTAAGGAAGGGGGCACAAGACCCCCCCGCAACCTCTCAGCTCTGCAAAACAGAAAAGAAGGGGGGAAGGAGGGCCATCGGGGTGCTGCGGGTCCCCCTCCAGCCCGCACCGGCTGCGGCTCAGCCGGGCGCCCAAACCTGGCGACCCTCCCTCAGGCGCCAGCCC